GGATGCAAAGTAATGCAATAAGTAAGTTTTCTGAAGAAACAGATAGTTATATTTATAATTCAAATATATATACGCCAAAAATGGCAATAGTAGACGTTAAGTCAGTAGACTCCACTGCTAATGTTATTAATAAAGTAGAATCAAACAATAATAATTTAGAATTGATACAAACACTGTTAATAATAATTGTTGTTATAATGTGGGCAAATTGTTTTTATAAACTGTACAAGTTAAAAAATAAATTTATGAGCCAGGCAAATGGTCTGGACAAAATTTAGTAAAAAACAAGGAAGAACGCTATAGTCGAGTACCTCGACTATCAGATACCCGTTACTCAGCTAAATAGAGATATGCAAGTAGCAAAGCGAGATTAAATGCGCAACCTACCGGCGGTTTACAGATTTAAGCGTTATGGGCGTTAGAGTGGGCGTGGCAAATTTTTTTTTCGACCAATCGATAGGTATTGACGAGACCAATACATTTCAGTTAAAATTCTTTATCTAGCATAAAAATTGTGACGTCACAGGTTTTCGCGGTTTGTGGGCGTTAGAGTGGTCGTGGCATATTCGCGTAACAAACTTGCGCTGCGTATAAGGCTACGGAATCTAAATCTGAAATCCAAATTCTCTATCTTTGATAGTTTCCGAGATATCCACGGTCATACTTACGATTTTTTGAAGTTTGTGGGCGGTTTATGGGCGTTAGGGTGGGCGTGGCACTCTACTGAAACAAACTTGCGCTGCGTAAGAGGCTCAGGATTCTGCACCCCATTAATACATTGCACAAGCACCCAAAAGGGAATTGTATATCCACCATTCCAGGTGTACAAGTTAGATCAGTAAGAGACGATGACCCAATACTAGGTAGAACAATAGAGATAATTCATATCCATTATATAATGGAATGGAATGAATTATATAGGCAACTAAATAACATAAAAGTGGATTTTGAAAAATCATACAAGTCACTTACTCAAAACAGGCCAACTCAAAAAAATACTATTAAAAAACATGTAGAAATACTAGTAAAATGCTTAATGAAGCACGAATACTTTTACATGGCCAGAGGGAAAAATTAAATCAAGATCATTGGTCCCAAGTATCAAAATTTTTGATCAGACTACGATCTAATTTAATATCAATTAAACAAAAGTTCAATTTAGATATGTCAGTAGCGACTATACTTAACACTTCTCTAACAGTTGAATCTGGTGATGAATCGGAATCAACAGAACAAACTGACATTGATCAAATAGAATCAGATGAGCTTACAGAGAGAAGCCCTAAAATAGAAGAGCAAGATTAAAATAATAATAATAATAAAATAAAAAATAAAAATAATCATGTTATTCCAGCTGTTTTAATGTCAAATCTGTATACTTCTACAGATTCCGATGATAGTTCAAGTATAATAGAGAATAAAATAAGCAACAATATCACAATGGAACAATCTAATATTGATTTTATTAACACAGCATCCAAGCTTATACCAGTTTTGGATGGAAAAGCTGAAAACTTAACAAGTTTTATTGATGCATTACAAATAATAGAATCAAAAGAAGGCGAGCACGAAAAATTAGCAGTTTCCATAAAAACAAGGGAGAACGCTATAGTCGAGCACCTCGACTATCAGATACCCGTTACTCAGCTAAATGGAGATATGCAAGCAGCAAAGCGAGGTTAAAATGCGCCACCTACCGGCGGTATACAGATTTAAGCGTTATGGGCGTTAGAGTGGGCGTGGCAAATTTTTGGATCAATCGATAGGTATTGACAACACCAATACATTTCAGTGAAAATTTTTTTATCTTGCATGAAAATTGTGGGCGTCACAGGTTTTTGCGGTTTGTGGGCGTTAAAGTGGGCGTGGCAAATTTTTTTTGGGTCAATCGATAGGTACTGATGAGAACATTACATTTCAGTTAAAATTTTCTATCTAGCATCAAAACTGTAGGAGCCACAGTTTTGGGCGGTTTGTGGGCGTTAGAGTGGGCGTGGAAGTCTACTGAAACAAACTTGCGCTGCGTAAGAAGCTCAGGAATCTGCACGCCAAATCTCAATAGCCTAGCTCTCATAGTTTCCGAGATCTCAGCGTTCATCCGGACAGACGGACAGACGGACATGGCTAGATCGACTCGGCTGGTGATCCTGATCATGAATATATATACTTTATGGGGTCGAAAACGCTTCCTTCTGCCTGTTACATACTTTCCGACGAATCTAGTATACCCTTTTACTCTACGAGTAACGGGTATAACAATGCTAAAAGGTGTCGCCAGAAATCGAATCAGAAATGAAACAACAATAACTGAAGTCATTTCCAGATTAAAAAGCAACGTCAAAGGCGAAACTGTAGAAGTATTGTCAGCAAAACTGATGAACCTACAGCAACGCAATAAAACTGCTAACCGGTACACGCAAGAGGTTGAGCAGATGACAAAAACTTTAGAAGGTGCATATATAAGAGACGGCTTACCCCTAGAGTTAGCCATAAGTTATTCCATGCAGTCAAAGCAATGACTAAAAATTGCACAATCGGTAAGGTAAAACTTGTCATGCACTACTATAAATGATGTCGTATCAAAATTTGTAAATAGTTGCACAGAAGTAACCGGACAGCCAAACACTGCCATATATTTCAAAAATTATACACAGCGCGGCGGAAACCGCGGACGTGGAAATTATAGAGGTAACTTTCGTAGTCGTAATAATAATTACATTAACAATGATACCCAATACAATAATGGTCAATGTAGAGGTAACTATAGAGACCGTGGCAACTCGAGTCGAGGCCACAACAACAATAACCCAAGTAATGTTCAAGTAACCAATAATACATCGGGAAACTCAAAAAACCCTTTAGATACTTAACAGTAGAAAATAGAATACCGTTAATCTCAGTCAGAACATATTTTTATCATTCAACCATGTGGCTACAGGAAAAGAACTTGTCTTTTTAGTAGTCACAGGTGCAGACATTTCAATAGTTAAAGAAAATTGTGATGTCTTTCATGACATGCAAGATAATTATATTATAGACATAAGAGGAATAAGTCAAGAGGTAACCAAATCCAAAGGGTTAACTTCTATTGAGATACAGACCACTAAGTACATAATCCAACACGGTTTTCATATCGTGGATTTACAATTCGCTATTCCTTGTGATGGCATATTAGGAATCGATTTTATTAAAAAATACAACTGTCAATTAGACTTCAAGCCATCTGAAGATTGGCTTATAATTAGACCTAATAACTTAGAATTTCGATTTTATTTTCCAATAACATACAGTTCTGGCAACAACTCAATACTTCAACTAAGTTCAAAAGAAGACAGTGTATCGATTCCAAATCAAGAAATTAAGAATGGTATTTATATAGCAAGTACCATAGCAACATCTAAAAACGCTTTCATAAGACTACTCAATACCACGAATAAAGATCAAGTATTCAGTAAAAAAATTTAGCTTTAGAAAAATCTGTATTATTTCAATTTTCAAAAAACTTTCCTCCACAATTCAAACCACAGCTTTCAAGTCTATGCACCCAATATATTGATATATTCGGATTGGAAACCGAACCAATAAGCACAAATTTTTATAAACAAAAACTGAGATTAAAAAAAAATTAAAGAATCCCACACAGTCAGGTGAACGAAATACAGAAACAAGTCGGAAAATTGATCACCGACGGGATTGTTGAACCATCTGTAGCTGAATATAATAGCCCATTATTACTTGTTCCTAAAATACCATCTCCAGGTTCAGAACAAAAGAAATGGTGATTAGTTATTGACAATCGTTAAATTAATAAAAAACAAGGGAGAACGCTATAGTCGAGTACCTCGACTATCAGATACCCGTTACTCAGCTAAATGGAGATATGCAAGCAGCAAAGCGAGATTAAAATGCGCCACCTACCGGCGGTATACAGATTTAAGCGTTATGGGCGTTAGAGTGGGCGTGGCAAATTTTTTTTTGGATCAATCGATAGGTATTGACGAGACCAATACATTTCAGTTAAAATTTTTTATCTAGCATGAAAATTGTGGGCGTCACAGGGTTTTGCGGTTTGTGGGCGTTAAAGTGGGCGTGGCAAACTTTTTTTTGGGTCAATCGATAGGTATTGATGAGAACATTACATTTCAGTTAATATTTTCTATCTAGCATCAAAACTGTAGGAGCCACAGTTTTGGGCTGTTTGTGGGCGTTAGAGTGGGCGTGGCAGTCTACTGAAATAAACTTGCGCTGCGTAGGAAGCTCAGGAATCTGCACGCCAAATCTCAATAGCCTAGCTCCCATAGTTTCCGAGATCTCAGCGTTCATCCGGACAGACGGACATGGCTAGATCGACTCGGCTAGTGATCCTGATCAAGAATATATATACTTTATGGGGTCGGAAACGCTTCCTTCTGCCTGTTACATACTTTCCGACGAATATAGTATACCCTTTTACTCTACGAGTACCGGGTATAATTACTGTCGGATACATTTCCACTCACACGAATTGATGATGTTTTGGATCAACTGGGACGATCAAAATATTTTTCATGCCTTGACTTAATATCAGGATTTTCGGCCAAAGAGCTAGTGGGATGGCTCTGAGGGCGCCGAGCTGAAGGCTACCGAACGGGTCGCAGGTTGCGGATAGCGAGCGCCCTGGTTCTCCAGGGTAGCTACGAATAAGCGTGGAAGTTGGACACGGCCCGGCTACCACCAAGCCCCCAACACGAAGCGCAAATAAGTAGCCCCGGACAGTCAGCGGGTATCTGCGCCGTAGCAGTACCGACGTCGAGCTTGTGCTGCCGCCTCCGACAAATAGCTCACACACACCCCTACCCACACGCTCTGTACCTACCTCTTCCCTACCCACACAACTCATCTCACCCCGGGCTGGACTAAGGTGTCACTCGTACCGTGCCGAGAGTCAATCTGGCTGGGAGCCCGAGTCATCAAATAACTCAGTCTCAAACGGTGAGCTCAGGCAAGTGGCGACCGCCTGTTCTAATTCAGCCTTACCCGGGTACGGCGGATCTCTGCCCGGGTGGACCTGTCCTTTCTCCGCAGCTCGTGGGAATTAACATGGAGAATTTAACAAATACAAAACTAAAAGACTGCACAAGACAAGAGCCCGACACTCTTATAAAGTCGGAAAAATAAAACGTCTAAGTGAGTAGAGAGCGATTAATGGGAAACGCGGAGGCCAGAAAAACAAGTTCGCTAAAAGAGATCACATTAAGTGGCTATTATATACAAATACGCCGCCCACATGGGCAACAGCAGAAAAATTAACTGCTGAACTTGATTTTCTAAAAGAATGCCTCCAGCTACGAAAGCCAAGTACCGCAACTCACTCAGCTAATATTAAAGTTATAAATGAAACAGTAACTAATAAACCACCATCTCCAAAGCCTTTGCCGAAGAAACCTGACGTCTGCTCAAACGACTGCCCTGGACCACTAGAAGCTGCAGCATGCAAATACACAGGCATGAAAAAGACCAGTGCGAAGACCGGCATCGGCCCCGCCTGAACCAATAGGCCACGGACATCAGTAGCAGTGAAGCCAACAGCGCGAGGGACTCCCTTTCGCCTTCGAAGGAGCGTTAGCGTAGCCAAACCGGCGACGACCAGCTGACGCGGAAGACATCTGTTGCAATTGGAGTCGAGTGGGAGCGACGTTATCGATAGGTTAGGTCGATAGGGCGATAGCTGCAGCAGCGGGATGAGTCTGGCGGGCGATCTGGCCATTTAAAGATTAATCCCGGTTCGCTCTGGGATTACTTCTAATGGCCCATGTATCCAATGACCCAATGCTGAGAGAGGCCATGTAATATGGCGGGGGGCGATGATCAGCAGATATCGTGATAGTCGCGGCCATACTGTCCAACAATCAAGGCAGATGCAGACAGGTAGACGGGAAACTACAAATTTGTCTTTGTGCTTAAAAATCAAATAGTGAGTGAGGTTAATGTTAGATAGTAGTTCAGTGTTTAATAATTATAATTTATAAAGGCAGCCAGGGTCCCAATACAAAGGGCCCCGGAAGATTTATTGGAGATCTGCTGACATCTGCGCGACTTCGACATACCTGCCAGCCCGACTTGGCGGCCCAGCAAACGGTGTCCGTTCGACCCGTATCAGCGACCAGCAAGAAGGGCCTTTCCCAGTCGACGACGACGTCCACATTTCCCGGTGAGTCCGTTCCGGAGTACCGCGTCATCCTCCTCTCGGGAACTTCCAGCGGTCGCATTGCGGCGCTGAGAAGAATCGCCATTTGTCTGGCAGCCGAATCTCGGACTGTCATTGCATAACTCACCGGAGAGCGCCTTTTTCCTGTGTGGAGATCCGGATCACTGCTGGCCTCCGGCGAGAAGCCTTCCGCCCGGGCTATCATTGCCTCCAGACCCGACCACACACACGCGCATCGCGTATGTTACTTTGAGGGCCGCGTTTCCATGCGAGCTCTACTAATACATGACTGGTGGAGCATAGTTTCCGCGGCGCCTGTACCCTTTTCCAGCCAAACAAAATCCTCTGCTTTGACCGCGTAAATATCCGAGACGGCGGCCAGGTTTCGGTCTTAAAGGCTGAGGAAGGATAGATCTGTTAAGAGGAGCATGTACATAAACGATTGTACCTACGATATTTATTAAAACCTTTGTAATACACACGATGTGTGAGTAATCTTTCCCAGTGGGGGAGATGGAACCGCCGTAGTCGCGAGGAGGGGGCTCCTGCCGACAGAGAATGGGTGGTGCCCTGCAGCATCTTGAGGGCATCCATGGTTGGGTGGGAGCGCTTGGCTAGGACATCGATAGCCACCAAATGTAATCCATTTTCCCGACAACAATTGTAGATTTTTTGCTTTGTTTACGTTTTTGCCCTTAGTGATGAGCGATAGATTAGTAAGGTGAGACCGCGAAGTTATCGATACTTTTGTTCGCCTGGATCGCCTTATCCCAATTCCCGCGGTAAAAAGTTGAGCGAGTCATTTCATCGTTTAACTTGATTGTCCTAAACGACGGGTCTGCAACCCATCTCTCCACCCACAACACCATAACACACATTGATGTTTCCCTAATTTCACCCAGAATAGCCCACCGTAGCAGTTGGTCTATATGTGATCAATTGCATGGAAGCGATCACTTCCCCATTTTCGTTTCCTTAGAATTCCCTTTCTCCCCAGACAAAAGCCTACCAATTCCAAAATATAAAACTGATCTCGCTGACTGGAATAGATTCGGCCAAATCTGCATCGAAACAGCACCAAACAAAGCGAATACCACATAAATCAAAAATCCCATGGTGGAGCCGGCAACTTCAACAGCTCAGGGAAACAAAGCAAAAACTGTTCCACACATTTAAATCTCAGATGTCATCCATAAACCTTATCAATTATAAAAAACGGTCCTTTCCGAAAAACGGAAATCCCTTGAAAATTTTACGTCAAGTATTTCCCCCCTTTCGACCACCAAAAAGATATGGTCTGACATTAATCGTCTGGCAGGCTGCCCGAAGATCCCAATAAAATGCATCAAAACAGCAAACGCACTTATAACAGACTCCAGTAGCATATCAGAACAATTCAAGGAAATCTGGGCCAAATACGGAGCGGTTGAAAACTTCAGCAACACTTACATAGGTCTTAAGAATCCTACCTATCCTCATCATACAATCCTACCACAATATCCCCAACAGCTCGGAGTTTGGACACTCCATTTAGACTGCACGAAATCGAGGCAGCTCTTCAAACCGCCAAAGGCAAATGCCCTGGCGCAGATAAAATATCCTATACCATCCTAAAACAGATACCTCCATGTCTTAAGCAGAGACTTCTTGACATTTACAACTCCATGCTATCCACCGGCAATTACCCCCACACCTGGCGATCTTCCATTACCATTCCCATCCCTAAACCCAAAACCAACTCCTCAGAAATTAATGGCTATCGCCCAATATCTCTTATACCCTGTCTTAGCAAAATAATTGAGAAAATGATTGCACTCCGACTTATGTGGTTCATCAACCGCCACAATCTGATCAACGGCAACCAAGTTGCATTTAAAAGGAACCACAGCACTATGGACGCACTTCTGAAGATCCAACACTTCGTGTCGAATGCCATTTCGACCAGGAATCACGTCTCCATCCTGGCGATGGATTTCGAAAAGGCCTTCGATCGCGTGGGGCCACATGCAGTTCTCTCTCGACTCCAGCTTTGGGGCATTGGTCCAAGGCTTTACAACTTGGCTAAAGCATTTATGACGAATAGGACCTTTAAAGTCAGAGTCAACGACAAGACTTCAACTTCGGCCAACTTGCTTGACAGAATCCCAAAAGGCTCCCCTCTGTCGGTAGTCCTGTTCATCATAGCTTTTGACCACGTAAACCTTCGTTTAGCTAGGTACAAGAAAATAAACCTTTCCTTATATGCAGATGACATAATAATTTTCACAAAAGAAAAAAACCTCAGGACGGTAAGAAACACATTTTTAAAAATTCTCCAGGACTTAGAGTCTTGGGGAATATCCTCAGGCGCTTCTCTTGCCATAGAAAGATGCCACACACTTCACATTTGTCGCAAAGTCTACTGTTGCTTCCCAACTTTGGAGTTTAGAAATAATACCATCCAAACAGTTACAAATTTAAAAATACTTGGCATTATATTTGATTCTAGGTTTAGTTTTAAGGAACACTGTATTACTTTAAGAAAACAACTTGAAGTCCGTGCCAACATTATAAAATTCTTAAGTTCTAAGTTTTCACACATCCATCCCAACATCCTAACCAATATAACCCGTGCCCTTATCCTCTCCAAAATCGAATACGGACTCCCAATCTACGGTTGGTGTGCAGCAACCCACCTAAGGAAACTGCAATCACCTTACAATACCTCAGTTCGCAGATCAATAAACGCATTCCCAACATCGCCAATACGATGCATTCTGGCCGAAGCAGGGTTACCAACCATAATGGAAAGACTAAACAAAGTCACCATGAATTTAATACCGAAGTTATTCACAAGCCCAAATCACTCGCTGGTCAAGGATTTCAAAGCCTGCTTCAGAAAAACACGCACGCCCAGGGTTCCCTCAACCCTTCACAGATGCGCCAAGCAAGCTGCCCAGATAGGCCTTGCAGCTCTTAAGCGGAGAATTATAGTTAGTTCCATCCCACCCTGGAAAGTTACATCGCACTATATAAAAAAAGATCTTCACTTCTTCGCCAAAAGAGTTTTCCAAGCACAATTTGGTCTTCTAAGAAGTCAACTAGGGGCAAGGAACTGGCTATATACGGATGGATCTAAAACGGATTCATCGTCTACATTCGCAGTCGTCAACGAGGACAACGACATCATCGCGGCAGGAACCCTCCCAAACTTTAACTCCATATTTACCATCGAAGCTTTTGCAGTCCTACAGGCCTGCCAATATGCCAACAAAAATAAAGGGAAATTCGCAATTTGCACCGACAGCCTATCCACCATCTCTGCTCTGGAAAACCCCGGACAATCAGATCCCACAATATGCCAGATAAGAAAAATTATTTGCTTTAAGGCACCGAAAATAACCATCATTTGGGTCCCCAGCCATCAGGGAATTCTTGGAAACGAGCAAGCTGACGCAGTTGCCCGATTTATGAGCACCGCACCAACCCTTTTATTTACACCTACCAGTGCCAAAGACATCTTCAGACTTATTACATCCACCAACAAAGAAAAGCTAAAATCTGACTGGGAAGGTATCATCCATAGATACAACACACTATACCCAGCCCGCGAAAAAACAACTTTTCCTACCGACCTCAACAAACATGATCGCAGAATTTACACCCTACTTCGCATCGGACACACACAGGAAAGCCACGAACATCTTTTTCAAGGATTGGCTCCCCCGCCTTGCCGCTTCTGCGGAGGCATTATTTCTTCGATCGAACATCCTTTCGATACCTACCAGGCTTTAAATCATACACGATTTTCCATTTTTGGATCCGTCACCGTTCCATCCTCCCTTCTCACATCCCCCTCCATACCAAATATTAAAAAATTGAAAGAATACATTACTACAGTTCATCTCCGAATTTATATATCGGAATTTAGCTTAAACAGCCGGGCCGAAGGACTTTAGCTTCCAGCGCCCCTTCTTTCTTTTTAAATATTAATTGTAGTATTATATACTAGCTTTAATTTGTTAAAATAAAATAAATAAATAAACAAGATTATGTAAAAAGAATATTACTTTTGAATGGACAGATGATTCCCAAAACGCATTCCAATGTTTAAAAACAAAACTCATGGAACCTACTTTGCCAAAGAATTTTGTATAATTACTGATGCAAGTAAGCAAGCGTGTGGAGCGGTTTTAACTCAAAACCATAACGGACTCCAACTTCCCATTGCATATGCAACAAGAGCTTTCCTTACGGGAGAAAGTAATAAGTGTACAACTGAGTAGGAATTAGCTGCAATTTACTGGGGAATATTACATTTTCGACCATATATTTATGGAAATAACTTTACAATCAAAACAGATCACAGACCATTAATATATCTATTTTCAATGATCAATCCGAATTCTAAACTGACACGTATGAGGCTAGAGTTAGTAGAGTATGATTTCAGAGTTCAATACCTAAAGGGAAAAGACAATTATGTAAAAGATTCGTTATCAAGAACAACCCTTAAAGATGTGCTATGTTTATTTAAACATGGTAGGGAAATTACTGCAAGATATGATGTTAGCGATTTATATACCAATGGAATCCTAGACTGAGGTCAATTTTTCCAAAGGCTTGAAATGCAAGGCGGTATAAACAAAATCAGCCAACTCAAAATGGCACCGTGGGAAAATATCTTTGAACATGTTTCAATAGATAATTTTAGACGAATGGGCAATAAGATATTGAATACATTAAGGGTAGCGCTACTCAACCCGGTGGCCCTTATAGAAAAACAAGTCGGGATAGAAGCAATACTGTGTAAATTCTATGACGATCCAATACAAGGAGGTCAAAAGACATTATTTTTGAAAAGGTATGACTCGAGATATTACTGAGTACATAGTACATAATGTCAGAAATGCCAAAAAGCTAAAATAACAAAGCCCAATATGACTCCATTAATAATAACTGATACGCCTATAAATGCTTTCGACAGAGTGATAGTGGACGCTATTGGTCCACTACAGAAATTTTGGAATCCTTTATTGTGAAGTAAGGTCCAATAAAGACGTTCATTACGGACATGGGTACAGAATATAAGAATTCAATTATAAATGATTTGTGCAAATACCTAAAAATTGAAAATATGACACCTACGGCACACCACCACCAGACAGTCGGAACAGTAGATCGAAGTCATAGAACTTTCAATGAATACATACGCTTCATATTATTCATATACGCATGGCTTCAATATTTCCTTTTTTGTTTCAACACGACCCCTTCAATGGCACATACTTATTGTCCATACGAGCTAGTATTTGGTAAAACAAATAATTTACCAAAACAATTTAATAGTATAGAAAATAAAGAACCCATATATAATATAGATAACTATGCTAACGGAAATATGAGAAAGAAATTACATTATAATAGCGAATAATAACAACAAAAAACCAACAGTTCATAAGGATAGATTAAAAATGTTTATTTCATAATTGTATTTGGCAAAGCCATGCTTAGATATACTCCTTCTTTACGTACGAATATTATCTATTATTCCCAATTCCATTTTCTTTGTAACGAATAAACAAAATTTAAAAAATATTTTTTCTACGTTAATTAAAAATGTTTCTTTTAAAAAAGTTTTACTAATAAAATAACATTATAATATTACGTTATTTTTCAAAAGGAAGGAGATGTAGTATGCATATATATTGAATATCTAGTGTACCAAGAG